AAAAAATACATACCGTAAAGTTGCTCTAATAATTAATTGTTATCCATTTTTTTCTGGAACATTTTATTTAGTTTCTATTTTCAGCATTCATTATTATGAATGAACTTTTTCATTAAATTTAGAAAATAAATTGCATTTACAAATATTGGTTAAAATAGTGATATTTTGGTATTTTATCCATACTTTTTCAGTATACATTTAAAAAAAATTCTTGACTAGTTTGAATTAATTTTTAAAATCACTTCTAATAAATGCTGTGCACAAATATTAGTTAAAATAGTCACTTTTAAAAATTTGTATCCATATTTTTTTCAGATAATATATGATCAAATATGATCTAGTTTTATTTTTTTAAATTAATTTTTCAGTGAACTTTCAAATAACTTAAAATAAATAGAGTTTTGGGTTAAAATAGTTATATTTTAGTATCATAAAAAATAAATAGTATGCAAATATATTGGTTCAAATAATCAGAGTTTTTTATTTTATCAATACTCTTTTCAGCGTTTTTCTTGTCTCATCCACTATCTTGAGTTGCCATTTTTGGGAATGTCTAAGATAGGTGCAGCACAATGTGTGTGTAAATGAAAAGAAAGAGAACGTCTTGTTAATATGGTACATTGCCGCCTAGTCAGACTAATGAAAACTGTTGTAACTGTTGTATAAAGTATAACATATATTATGGGATCCATCTGTGGGTCACAAATTCTTTGGTCAGTCTCATGCAGGAAGGTGAGAGGGAGAAGGGGAAGGCAAAATCCACCATCACCCTTCATCTGTGTAGCCTTGAGAAAGCGAGGGAAATGCCTGCTTCCCTCTCTCTTTCGTCTTGGTACAGGGAGAGGCAGGGAAGCAGCAAGGAAAGAGGAACGGCAAGACCAGATCTGGAAGAATACCTTTGCAATAGCAGATCTGAAAGTTTCAACTCCAGCTGAATACAAATGAGGACAGGCTGTGCTGTAAAGGCAGGCGCTGGCTGAGTTTCTCTCCATGAGCACACACTCGCTTCACGTCAGGGTCCTGATCACAATGTTGGGGTTCAGTTTTCAATAACCAGTGATTATTACATGGCTGCATATAAATAAATAAATGGACATGAAATATTGATTGGATTTTAAATTAGTTTATTATGTGAGCAGAAAGAGAGCGCAGAGTGGTACGAGAGACTTGAAACTATCACAGCTGTGTTGAAAATCATTTTGCTGTGACGATGCTCAATCATACAGTTTAGCATCAATATGCAAAAGTATTTTGGAATGAAAATGATTTTTAATAAACACTAGGTTCAAAATATCTGTATGTGGCTCCGAGTGTTTATTCTGGCAATCGATTTATTTAATTACATCTGGATAATTTGGCCAGTGGGCAGTGATATATAAATAATGGCCAGACATTTTAAAATAAAAGTGACTTGCAAGTTTACATTGATTAAATAAAAGTGTGTTTGAGTAGAATATATGATTATTCAAAGATGAATACGTTTGAAAGTGTATTTGAATTTGATATAGATAGATAGATAGATAGATAGATAGATAGATAGATAGATAGATAGATAGATAGATAGATAGATAGATAGATAAAAACTGTTGTAACTGTTGTATAAAGTATCACATATATTATGGGATCCATCTGTGGGTCACAAATTCTTTGGTCAGTCTCATGCAGGAAGGTGAGAGGGAGAAGGGGAAGGCAAAATCCACCATCACCCTTCATCTGTGTAGCCTTGAGAAAGCGAGGGAAATGCCTGCTTCCCTCTCTCTTTCGTCTTGGTACAGAGAGAGGCAGGGAAGCAGCAAGGAAAGAGGAACGGCAAGACCAGATCTGGAAGAATACCTTTGCAATAGCAGATCTGAAAGTTTCAACTCCAGCTGAATACAAATGAGGACAGGCTGTGCTGTAAAGGCAGGCGCTGGCTGAGTTTCTCTCCATGAGCACACACTCGCTTCACGTCAGGGTCCTGATCACAATGTTGGGGTTCAGTTTTCAATAACCAGTGATTATTACATGGCTGCATATAAATAAATAAATGGACATGAAATATTGATTGGATTTTAAATTAGTTTATTATGTGAGCAGAAAGAGAGCGCAGAGTGGTACGAGAGACTTGAAACTATCACAGCTGTGTTGAAAATCATTTTGCTGTGACGATGCTCAATCATACAGTTTAGCATCAATATGCAAAAGTATTTTGGAATGAAAATGATTTTTAATAAACACTAGGTTCAAAATATCTGTATGTGGCTCCGAGTGTTTATTCTGGCAATCGATTTATTTAATTACATCTGGATAATTTGGCCAGTGGGCAGTGATATATAAATAATGGCCAGACATTTTAAAATAAAAGTGACTTGCAAGTTTACATTGATTAAATAAAAGTGTGTTTGAGTAGAATATATGATTATTCAAAGATGAATACGTTTGAAAGTGTATTTGAATTTGATTAAGGAAAAGAAATGCATAACACTGAAAACTTGTGAAAACAAAACAGTAGACTCATTTTTGTAGACTAATAATTGAGACATACGGTGCTGACGCTTTAATGAGAGTTCTTATTACTGCAATCAAAACATCCACATGAAATTTGATTTTAGTGCTGAAATGATTTTAATTAGGGAAATCAAGCTGTCCATAATTACAGGAGCAACAGAAGTCTCTCTCCTCTGTGTCAGAAAGCCACAAGACACTTGATGTACGCCAGGACTTCATTAGTACAGACAAAGAAAACAGTACAACTCTGCTATTTAGTTTCCCTCAAGAAACTTTTTAGCAACCCCTCACACATTCTAAGCTCACAGCTGAAACACCTCAACAACCAGTAACTTAGCTGTTGTAACATTGTTATTTGGGTTTATGTATTTGTTTATGCATTGGACAATTGTTCAGTTATAAATCAGCATGTCATACGAATGTATGAAACACACACACACACACACACACACACACACACACACACACACACACGTCTGTTTTGCGCTCTTTGTGGTGTCTCTATGTATGGGCGTTTATGGGATCCATCTGTGGGTCACAAATTCTTTGGTCAGTCTCATGCAGGAAGGTGAGAGGGAGAAGGGGAAGGCAAAATCCACCATCACCCTTCATCTGTGTAGCCTTGAGAAAGCGAGGGAAATGCCTGCTTCCCTCTCTCTTTCGTCTTGGTACAGAGAGAGGCAGGGAAGCAGCAAGGAAAGAGGAACGGCAAGACCAGATCTGGAAGAATACCTTTGCAATAGCAGATCTGAAAGTTTCAACTCCAGCTGAATACAAATGAGGACAGGCTGTGCTGTAAAGGCAGGCGCTGGCTGAGTTTCTCTCCATGAGCACACACTCGCTTCACGTCAGGGTCCTGATCACAATGTTGGGGTTCAGTTTTCAATAACGAGTGATTATTACACGGCTGCATATAAATAAATAAATGGACATGAAATATTGATTGGATTTTAAATTAGTTTATTATGTGAGCAGAAAGAGAGCGCAGAGTGGTACGAGAGACTTGAAACTATCACAGCTGTGTTGAAAATCATTTTGCTGGGACGATGCTCAATCATACAGTTTAGCATCAATATGCAAAAGTATTTTGGAATGAAAATGATTTTTAATAAACACTAGGTTCAAAATATCTGTATGTGGCTCCGAGTGTTTATTCTGGCAATCGATTTATTTAATTACATCTGGATAATTTGGCCAGTGGGCAGTGATATACAAATAATGGCCAGACATTTTAAAATAAAAGTGACTTGCAAGTTTACATTGATTAAATAAAAGTGTGTTTAATTGTATTATTATTAATATTATTATTGTCGTCGCTGTTTCTGTTGCTCTTTGTTGTTGCAATCAGTAGGTCAATGTGCGCATGCCTGCTAATGCGAGACGCGTTGCTATAACGACAGATGTACACAGTTTCCTCAAGCGGTAGTTGGGGAGGACGGTGTTGATGTAAGTACTTTTAAAAGCCTGTGACATTTTGATAAAGTATTGTTGATACTGTGTATTTTATCTCTGAAACAAACAAACAAACAAAACAAATATATGAGTTCTATCTATCAGCTCTCGCCTTTGTTTTATAAAGCTCTAGAAAACAGTACAACTCTGCTATTTAGTTTCCCTCAAGAAACTTTTTAGCAACCCCTCACACATTCTAAGCTCACAGCTGAAAACACCTCAACAACCAGTAACTTAGCTGTTGTAACATTGTTATTTGGGTTTATGTATTTGTTTATGCATTGGATAATTGTTCAGTTATAAATCAGCATGTCATACGAATGTATGAAACACACACACACACACACACACACACACACACACACACACACAGATGTACACAGTTTCCTCAAGCGGTAGTTGGGGAGGACGGTGTTGATGTAAGTACTTTTAAAAGCCTGTGACATTTTGATAAAGTATTGTTGATACTGTGTATTTTATCTCTGAAACAAACAAACAAACAAAACAAATATATGAGTTCTATCTATCAGCTCTCGCCTTTGTTTTATAAAGCTCTAATTATTCTAACGCCCAAATGTGCAGGAAACAAGTCTAATGAGAATGAATATATTTGGCAAATTTCTCTCTGGTAGCTGGTTTTTCTTTAATCTTAAATGACTGAAGTACATAAATAGTGAGGAATTATATGTTTATTGATTATAGTACCATCGTATTCTTTGACGTACGTTTGAGTTTACAAATACCATGGTATTTACCATTGCTACCATGGTTCTTTGGCCATGAAACATGGTGGTAACGTTACCCTGGTGGGTTTTTTTAGATGAAAATACCACTACATATGCTAATCATTCAGTACCATGATCTTATACCATCATTGCACCATGCCATTTTTTTTTGTAAAGCTTTGTTGCTGTTATTCATTTCACTGGCCTCTTTGTAGGTTAATTCAGTGAAATGTGTGCTATTGTGTGCTGTGGATTTCTTACTCAGAACTCTATTTTCTCAGGACACTTCAGTGGAAATTACAGCCTGTGAAGCTTGCAGTCTGATCAGAGAGCACCATGAATTTAAACAACTTTGTGGTACTTCCCAGCAAGCCCAAGTCAATGAAGTTAAATGTCAGGTTTGAACAGTCGGTTCCCTTGAGTTTCTTTTCACGCTTCAGATTTTTCACATTATTAGCACGTTACATGTCGCGTTTGCAAATGGCAGCGCTCCAAATGTTCAGAGTAGTCTGTTCATTTTAGCAGAATAATATGATTTTGTGTATTCCGTTGAATTATTGTCTTAAGGAGAGTGGCTCTAATAAAACAGGAAAGAGTCAGTCACATTGGTTTGTACAAGTTAATATGTAGCATGTAAAAAGTATATTTATATATGTGTATATTCTCCCCCCAAGGAATCTCCGGGAACTGCGTATGGAAACAGTGCAGCTGGATCAACATGCCAAGGAGATGGAGAGAAGACTGGAGGAGCTCAGACAGCATATGAACCAGGAGAAAGAGGAGAGGGAGTGAGTGAAACAGGGAGGGGAGGGACAGCTTGTTGAATTAATGAATGAGTGAGAAGATGAATAAATTAACGGGCCAAACAATGACTGTGACAGAGAGTGCTGAGATAAAAGAGGAAAGGTAAACAATGAAACGACAATGAATAAAATGAAAAACGTAGGAAGAGATAGCGAGTGAAAGACAGAGAATGAGAGACTGTGAGGGTAGGTGTGCATGCAGGCAAAGACAGAGGGACTTCAACAAATAATTCACCCAAAATTAGTATTCGGTCAGTGTTTTTTCACCCTTCCAAAACCTGTATGCAAATATTTTTTTCCCTATACAATGACATTTTAAAGTGACTACGGCTGTCAAACTTTAAAAAAAAAATCTCCATAAAAGTAGTGCATATCACACAAGTCCTCTAAAGCCATACATTTACATTCATTTATTTGGTAGACTTTTCTCCAAAGTTACTAGCGCTGCATTGAAGGCCCTCCTTGATGTGATGTCATTTTAAAGTTATACATATTTATTTTTAAATATGAACTTGAACAGCAAAAATCACATTGGCTCTGATATTTTCATTTCCTGTTTGAGTCACTTTTCTGTGACTTTGTAAATATACATTAATCTAACTTGACATTCGTCATAGAAATGCCAGTGCCAATCAAACCCAGTGCATACGTTCTTTCTTAAGGGTATGGGTCACCTAAGTGCAGTGCCTTGCAGAAATACGCTGACATATATAGTTAAAGGTCGCCAAAGACAATCTAAAGTTCTCAAAGACACCATCTGCATTAAGTTCCCAACTACTGCACATCCATACGGTTCTGTTCTGTTCCTTAGAATTTATCTGATGAAAACGCGTGGGTTAGTTTAAAGGAATAGTACACCCAAAAATGAAAATTTGCTGAAAAATGTACTCACCCTCAGGCCATCCAAGATGCAGGTGAGTTTGTTTCTTAATGGGAACAGATTTGGAGAAATGTAGCATTCCATCACTTGCTCACCAATGGATCCTCTGCTGTGAATGGGTGCCGTCAGAATGGTCCAAACAGCTGATAAAAACATCACAATAATCCACAAGTAATCCTCACCACTCCAGTCCATCAATTAAAGGTGGGGTAAGTGATTTCTTGTAGCCAATGTTGACATTTGAAATCACCAAAACAAACACGCCCCTACCCCAAAAGGGTCTCGCACCTATTTTGATAGCTCCGCCCCACACATAGGTACGCAACCCAGGCAACGATTAGTTCTGTGAAACAAAGCAAAACCAATGTTACACCGTGTCTACACTACACTGGACGCGAGTGGCGCGGCGTGACAAAATACTATAGATAGGGCTGTGACGGTGGCATATTTTTACTACCACGGTGGTAATGGTCCAAGTACCACTGGTGGCGCGGTGTTGATATATATATATATATATATATATATATTAGTGGTGTCAAAATTAGCGAGCTAACGCAGGTGATTATTTTTTTAGTTTAGTTTATAAAAGTATATAACGCAATTAATGCAGGGGCGGGGCTAGGGTTGGCCGCCCCGCTCACAACTGCTGCTTCTGTCACTTTTTCTCTTGACAAGAAGTGCATTTATTCAGTCGCAGAACGACTGGCGGGAGAAAGGGAGACGTTTCAGACGCGTGCTCCTCTTCACTTCGGTGCCATGCGCGAGTCAAGCGAGCGCGGAAACGGTACTGTGCTCGAAGCGCGTGCTCTTCAATTGCACGCACAAAGGCGGCGGCGAGCTGTAACCTGTATCCTTTCATATCAAAGCGCGAAATTAACTACGTGCATGCAATGCCGTGGTCAGTTAAGTCATGAAGGAAGAAAGTTAAATACACCCCGTCTACAGGACGCGAGCTGCGCGTCGCGACAAAATACTATAAAACACATTATAATCAGTGATGCTACACTGGATGCAACACGACATGACAAATTCCCGACAGTTACTGTTATTACATTTGTATACAAAACTTTGTATTATGGTTGTTATAGAGTGCGTGACGTCACGTGCACTACCGCCAGGCAAGCGACCACTGCGGTGATGCGGTTGTCATGGCGATCGTCACAGCCCTAACTATAGAACTCATTATAATAAGTGATGCTGTCTACACCATAGATATACAGTATATACATATCTATGGTCTACACTGGATGTGGCGCGGCACGACACGCCAAATCCCCGACAGAAAACTGCTGCTGTGTTCTATTTATGACGTATTGACACAAATTTCAAATGATTTTCAACGGTCGCTTTGTCGTGTCCAGTGTACTAGACAGATTTTAGCTGTTGTGGCGCAGACACGGTGTTACCTATCGAGAAGAAACAAAGCAACCTCAGCATCCGATCGCAGGCCTTCCGCTCCTTGAGTTCTCTCCAGCGCTGGAAAGCTGATCCAATATTTACACGGGTCCTGCTTCTTGCCTTATTGCCTTAAGCCTTCTTTTATTCCCCAGACAGTTTCCTCTTTTGTTTTTTATCCGCCATCTCTATCTTTCTGTCGCTCGGCTCGCTAATGTCCGTCCTGTGCACTGAACGCTCTCTCCTCCACATCATGAGTAGACACGCCCCTTACTGCTGATTGGCTACAAGTTTGTTTTGCTATTCGGCCCGAATCAGTTTTCTAAAGCGTTTTTGAAAAATCGCTTACCCCACCTTTAATGTCTTGTGAAGGAACAAACTTACATCTTGGATGGCCTGAGGGTGAGTCAATTTTCAGCAAACTGTAATTTTTGGATGAACTATTCCTTTAAGACCAGTATCTGATATGGTTATATTTAAAACTTTCTGTGACCAACAACACAACAACGCTCAACACTACCCTTTGACACTTTGGATAACGTGAGAGCAAAAGGCATGCAAGTATATGTGGAATTATGTGGAGAGGAATTGGAAATGGAGTGACAGAGATGCCATTAGCTTTAAAATCTGATCGTCACATGGAGTATGCAGCTCCTGCAGGTAATCTCGGGTGATGGTTTGACTTCAGAGCGATCTGGTGTGATGGAATCAGCATAACCATCGAGTGGAAGGAAATTGAGTCATCTCGGCTCCAGCAGCTCTGCTCTCACTGCATCGCCATGCTTGTCTTCCCATTTCTCCCAAACAAATTAAGATTAAGTGGAACCCTATGCCAAAACGAGGAAGGCAGGAAATTAGTTTTCTGTCAAAATAAAAGAATAAGAAAAAATAACATCACTAGTTATTAATTTGATGTCTCTCTCTCTCTCCCTCTTCTCGGCCCGGCCCCTTTCCTTCAGCTCTTCATTAATAACACTAAAATGTGACCTGTGTAGGTCCACCTCATGAATTTATAGTGGCGGTCGTTTTAGTCGTACATATAAGCTCATTATGCAGCAGGGGAGGGAAACACTACGGTAATGGAGTAGATAAAGTGAATACATCATATTCCCATATATACTGCCGAACAAATGCAAACATATACATCCAGTTGGTCAGGATGAATTATGTTGAGACAGCATGAAGAATGAATTTATCCGAAATTTTAAATATTTTTGCCTGGAAAGTGGATATACTGTATCAGTGAGGCAGAAGGCCAATCGGAGACAATAGCATGAAGCAATTCCTGTGGGTTCTTCTTCATGGGGATGGACGGCACCAATTGCACCTGTATCAATAACATTGTCACGAATCCGGTCAACGAACTTTCCTATTCATTGACTCTCAGAATTGAAAATGAAAAAGGTAATTGCACTTTTTTTTCTTTTAACAATACAGACTTTTTCTTGCAATTCTGAGTTTATATCACAATTGAGACTTTTTCTCTCAGAATTTTCTCAGAAACATAAACTCAGAATTGTGAGATATAAACTTGCAATTCTGAGAAAAAAAATCTGAATTGCAAGATAAACTTTTGAGTTTACATCTTTTGAGTTTACATCTCACAAATCTGTTTTTGTTTCCACCACGAAATAAAAAAAAGATAATTGCAACATTTTATCTCACAATTATGATTTTTTTCTCTCTCAGAATTGTGAGTTTATAACTCTATAGTTATAATTCTGAGAAAAAAATGTAATGATGAAAAAAAGTTATAGTATTTTGTTAAGTCACAAAAACCTTATACAGTATATACAGTGGGTACGGAAAGTATTCAGACCCCCTTAAATTTTTCACTCTTTGTTATATTGCAGCCATTTGCTAAAATCATTTAAGTTAATTTTTTTCCTCATTAATGTACACACAGCACCCCATATTGACAGAAAAACACAGAATTGTTGACATTTTTGCAGATGTATTAAAAAAGAAAAACTGAAATATCACATGGTCCTAAGTATTCAGACCCTTTGCTCAGTATATAGTAAAAAGGTAATTGCACTTTTTTTCTTTTAACAATACAGACTTTTTCTTGCAATTCTGAGTTTATATCACAATTGAGACTTTTTCTCTCAGAATTTTCTCAGAAACAAATTCAGAATTGTGAGATATAAACTTGCAATTCTGAGAAAAAAAATCTGAATTGCAAGATAAACTTAGAATTGAGTTTACATCTCACAAATCTGTTTTTGTTTCCACCACGAAATAAAAAAAAGATAATTGCAACATTTTATCTCACAATTTTTTTTCTCAGAATTGTGAGTTTATAACTTGCAATTCAGCATTTATATCTTGCAGTTCTGAGCTTATATCTTATGATTCTGAGAAAAAAATTTAATGATGAAAAAAATTTCTAGTATTTTGTTAAGTCACCAAAACCTTATATATATACCCATAAATAGTACAAGATGATTAAAATGGGACTATTTTGCCAACATTTTGTGTATTTTTTATGCTTATTAAATTGTGTCGTTATATTAAATTAAGTTTAAATGGTTAACTTATTAAATTATAATTTATTAAAATTTTCAAGTTAATTTATTGAGAAGAATAGCACTTCCAGAGGTCATTTTTTTTATCAATCTGAAATCTAATTTAACACCAGGTTAAATGTGCAGTATAGTAACCCCTCACCTGTCCCACTGCTGCCATACAATGAACTCGAGTAGCAGAGGAGTCTGATGTCTGTGACCCTGACAGGAGATAAGTGTTTGTCTTGTTGGTTGACACTCAGTGTGCATGCGATGGTAATCCGCCAGTTGTTAGCACAACTGCCACGTTGCCTGTGCATTTCTCTATAATGCTGACAGGCAGGCTTGAGCGCGGTTAATCCCCATCCCAAACGCCCGTCTCCATCAGACTGATAAAGGCCAGCACATAAACAGCTCTTAATGAGAGTGGACAGCATGCAGAGGAAGTGTCCTCTCTCCCTCCTGGCCCCTTCCAAAGTCTCTGACTATCTCACTCTTTTATAATATGAGATGGATTTTAGTGGAGCTGCTGAGCTGTGTATTTTTTGTTTGATCTATTCATGACTTTTCTTATTGCTTATACTTTGGGTTAGATATTTAAATAAACTCCTAACAGTAAATATTAAAGTATTACTTTTCTGAGCGATTATAGTTATAATTTTTGCCTGGCGGAAGATATCATTGTTACACATTTGATTTTTTAAGAAATTAATCATTTTATTCTTCAACATGCATTAAATTGATCAAAAGTGAGAGTAAAGACATAACAAAAATGAATTAAAAATTCCTGAAAAAATTTGTATTATGGTTTCCACAAAAATATTAAGCAGTACAACAGTTTTTAGTGTTGATAATAATAAGAAATGTTTCTTGAGCAGCAAATCAGTATCTTAGAATGTTTTGTAAACTGTTATGTGACACTGAAGCCTGGAGTAATGATGCTAAAAATTCAGCTTTACATCACAGGAATAAATTACATTTTCATATATATTCAAAGAGAAAAGAGTTAGTCTAAATTCTGTTTTTAGTGTATATTTAATGAAATAAATGCAGCCTTTGAGTATAAATGATTTTAAAAACATAAAATCTTACCAGCCCGAACTTTTGAACAAAATGTGTGGCTTAAAGGGTTAGTTCACCCAAAAATGAAAATTCTGTCATTAATTACTCACCCTCATGTCGTTCCAAACCCGTAAAACCTCAGTTCATCTTCGGAACACAAATTAAGATATCTTTGATGGAGCTCTCTGACCCTCCCATAGACAGCAAGGGTACTACCACGATCAACGTCCAGAAACGTAGCAAGGAGATCGGTAAAATAATCCATGTGACATCACGGGTTCAACCGTAATATTACGAAGCTACGAGAATACTCTTTGTGTGCAAAAAAAAAAAAAAACGTATTCAGACTTTATTCAACAATTCGTCTCCTCACCCTAGCGCCATTTTGGAGAATATCCACTGAACGCAAACAACGCATGTTCTGTGTCAGCCGCACCACACGGATTTTTTCGTTCAAATCCAAGCACAAACAACGTAGAAAACGTATCCGTGTGCTGCGGCTGACAAAGAACAACATACGCTGTTTGCGTTCAGTGAATATTGAGGGTGACTGAGAGTGAGTAATTAATGACAGAATTTTCATTTTTGGGTGAACTAACCCTTTAAATGTCTAGATACTTTTGGGGCCACTTTATATGTTTTGGCTTGATGTAACGTAGTATTTAAATAACTTTCACCATTGTGCCCCGGAGCAAGACTCTTAACCTTAAGATGTTTCCAAGGGGACCGTCTCTAATTAGTGTATGGTAAGTTGCTGTGACAAATTAGTAAATTAGTAATTAGTAAAAACTCAAATACGAGTGCCTACCCTGCTTCCTCTGAGCATGTGAACACATTGAGCTCAAGCATTTCAGCAGTAAAGTCACATGACCTGTCACCAACTACACATTCCTCTGAGATTTCACAGGAATAAATTACATTTTCATATATATTCAAAGAGAAAAGAGTTATTCTAAATTCTGTTTTTAGTGTATATTTAAAAATAAATGCAGCCTTTGAGTATAAATGATTTTAAAAACATAAAATCTTACCAGCCCGAACTTTTGAACAAAATGTGTGGCTTAAAGGGTTAGTTCACCCAAAAATGAAAATTCTGTCATTAATTACTCACCCTCATGTCGTTCCAAACCCGTAAAACCTCAGTTCATCTTCGGAACACAAATTAAGATATCTTTGATGGAGCTCTCTGACCCTCCCATAGACAGCAAGGGTACTACCACGATCAACGTCCAGAAACGTAGCAAGGAGATCGGTAAAATAATCCATGTGACATCACGGGTTCAACCGTAATATTACGAAGCTACGAGAATACTCTTTGTGTGCAAAAAAAAAAAAAAAACGTATTCAGACTTTATTCAACAATTCGTCTCCTCACCCTAGCGCCATTTTGGAGAATATCCACTGAACGCAAACAACGCATGTTCTGTGTCAGCCGCACCACACGGATTTTTTCGTTCAAATCCAAGCACAAACAACGTAGAAAACGTATCCGTGTGCTGCGGCTGACAAAGAACAACATACGCTGTTTGCGTTCAGTGAATATTGAGGGTGACTGAGAGTGAGTAATTAATGACAGAATTTTCATTTTTGGGTGAACTAACCCTTTAAATGTCTAGATACTTTTGGGGCCACTTTATATGTTTTGGCTTGATGTAACGTAGTATTTAAATAACTTTCACCATTGTGCCCCGGAGCAAGACTCTTAACCTTAAGATGTTTCCAAGGGGACCGTCTCTAATTAGTGTATGGTAAGTTGCTGTGACAAATTAGTAAATTAGTAATTAGTAAAAACTCAAATACGAGTGCCTACCCTGCTTCCTCTGAGCATGTGAACACATTGAGCTCAAGCATTTCAGCAGTAAAGTCACATGACCTGTCACCAACTACACATTCCTCTGAGATTTTGATATGAAAACAGTCTCATTCTTGATTTATTTTTTCAGAATTTTTCAGGCGGCCATCCAAAGAATTTCACGACCCACATGAGAGAAAGAGACATTTCAAAAGCATGGTTACCTCTTTACTTCTTACTAAATTATATCGTACAGCCAGACACACATAACATACATTTCCATCCTTTGAACACACTCAGGCTTGTGGCTCGACGCCAGTATGACAGCCCACTCTAAACAGACGGCCTCCCCCTCAATCACGCCGTGGATTATTTAGACTGTTGATTTGATGTGGCAACCAAAACAACAAATCAGAAAGCAAATGAAGTCGACCTCCGTCTGTGTATCTGTGTGAATTATGTAGGGCAAAAGCTTTCATGTAATGTTTGTGTTTGTTTTCCACTATTTGATATGTGCTTAGTTAAAAGTTTACCATGAGTTACGCACTAGATTTTATTACTTGGGGTTAGGGGGTTTTCAAAAAGTAATAGTAAGTCCTCCAAATGATTCTTGCTTTATGAGACACACCATTGGCTATTACAACTAGTTGCAGTTCTGTGCTAAACTGAGCAACTTTCTGTGATATTTCCACACAGGAAGATGGGAGCTTCTCACTGGCGTTCAGCACAGCCTGGGGTTCAGAGCGTTAAGGAGAACGCACCTCACAGAGTAAGAGTTTTCATGCAGATACACAAATAAAGTCTGTCAGCCTGTCTGTCTGTTTAAAATATCCAGTTACAATCAGGCTGACTTCACCTTCATTCATGCCAGGGATAGTCCAAAACCTTGGACGCACTTTCTAGAATTAACTGCATGAACAGTTCACCGGTGGTTTTGGTGATAATGTGGTGTTTGAAATATGTTGTTTCGGGCAGCTCTCTCCAGACAAGATGAAGATTAGAGTGCTGAAGGACGAGCCTGTGCCAGGTGGGTGGACTGGAATCTGATATGTGTTTTGCCTGGCTTGTTTTGAACTCCTTTTTTCCTCAAATGTATCACTTGGACACAAGCATAGTAAAGTCTTAATTACATAACCCTTCTTTTTTTTGTAAGAATTTCCGAAAGGTACAAGTCAAAATTGTCTTTAATTCTTTTCCAAAGTCTAATAACTAACACAAAACTTGTTCCAAACAATATGCAGAATAATTATTAAGGCATCACGTATACTGTATATGTTGCAGACATTGCACTGGAAAAAGTAATTTTCTTGGTCATTATTTTTGACTTATTTTCTAGTAAGCGTCCTTATAACAAGATAAATATACTTGAGAAGCAACACACCGAGTAAGATAAGATTTGTTTTCAGAGAACGTCTATTGAATTATTAGGGGCCAAGCCCTGAAGGGGCTGTAGTTAGGGGCCATCTGTTATTTTATTTTCCCCCAACTGGAGTCTATGGCAGCCCTATGAATGGAACATAGGAAAAGGATTAAATTTGGCACACTTGTAGTGATGGTCATGAATAATGATCTGACCAACTTTGGGGTCCCTAGGACCAACTCTATAGCGACACCACCAGTTATCACCACTTTTCAAAAGAAAAATTTGTTAATCTGATTCCTCTCTTTATGCTGATCACATTCAATAGCGTACATCAAGTATTGGCCATTTTGAAAAGTACAGTTTTCCATTTTTTCGCTACGCCTTCAAATTTTGTGAGATGAACTTTGGACTGAGCCACACAGAAATGACTGAACAGAATTGTATGTCCTACTTGTGAGAAAAAAGTTATGATGCTGTAAACGATGTTGACCCAAAATTGGTTCAGAGGCTGTATCTCGGCCAAACTTGGATCAATCAAAACGAAACTTGGTATGCTTCATCACCATGATCTGAGGGCCCATGTCAAATTTGGCAACAGTGCCACCTATGGATAATGAGATACGAAAAAGTTCTTATTTTACTAATAACCTTTGAACTGTTAGTCAGAAAGTTGTGATCTTGGTGTCTGTGGATTCCTTGGGTCATGTTGAATCTGTGGATGACGATTTTGCCAGGATCAGATAAACCGCCTGTCCGCCTTTTTGAAATTTGCCATAAATTGTGATATCTTTTGAACTGATAGACATAAATGCACAGAAATTGGTAGGAATCATCGACAGCATGTCCCAGAGGTACCCGAGAAATTTTAACACAGCGCCACCTAGTGTTCCAGAGATATAAAGATATTTGCAAAAATGCTTATAACTTTTGAAAACATTGTCCAAATTTTGTTATTTTTGTATCCTTTCATTCCATTGGTTTGCCATTTTCCATTAATGTGCCTGTCCGCCATATTGAATTAAATGAATAACAGTTTTTTACCTATTTCTCCTATGAATTTCATTTGAACTTCTGTTCATTCTGCATTCATTCTCACCTATAATTCTGAACTGGGTGTTTTTCCATGTTCATTTAATTTTTGCTGTTTTTGCTCTTCCTGCTTTGCACTGTGCTACAGCCCTGCTATTGCTGCTTGTAGCTATATTTATTATCGTTTTTTTTACCCTATTGGTAAATTGTTCATGTTTTAAACAGAAATTAGACAAACTTTAGTGAGATTTGTCCATTGATTTGTTCAAGAAAAAAAATTTATAACTTACTTTAAAATACATTCTCTGAAAACGAGAAATAAAGATAACAATAATGATCTTTTGCAAGGTGAAAACAGTACAGCAAGTGAAATTATAAATGCACTTTATTCAGTATTGCAAATTCTTGATGAAAAGGGCTCCATCTAATTAATTAATTGGCTATTTTATCCAAAAGTTTTGTTTTATTAGAGCATTCATGCAGGGTCCTGTGTTCCCCAGATTTATATGGCACATAATGAACACATAACAAAGGATCCTTTGTTCCCTGGGTTAAACTTTTGAACGGTAGTATGGATATACTTCCATATTGAATCATTAACTTAGTAACATGCTATGTACCAGCTCTGTTGGAATCTACTGTAGAGTCTCACATGTTGAGTACTATTTGTGGGATGTCGATGCGCTTGTGGAACATTCCAAATCAGTCAGATGACATGATTCTCTCAGAAGGTACCTGTAGGCAGTTGATGATGAGGTAGCTCATTAAATTATGGAACAGATTTCATGTGTAGAGTTCTGAATTGTGTGTGTCTTTGTATAACTGCAGCAGTACAGGAGCAGCTAATAGCGGAACGAGCCGCCAAGGTACATGGCACTAACAGGAAGCTCAACCTGAAGGGAAAAGTCTGTGGACAGTGTGAAGTTCAGCTGGCCGGACTGGTGAGTTTTCATCCGTTCTGTTATGTGAACAGAACTATTCTTAATTCCAGACTATCCATCCCTTTCATTCATCATGCATCATGTCTCAGGTATACACTGCCACTCTAAAGTTAGAATTTTTTTGCTGGAGTTTGCATTTATTTGATCAAAAATACAAATAAAACAGTAATAGTATGCAATACTGTCTATTGTTACTATTTAAAATAACAGTGTTTTCATTTGTATACATTTTAAAATGAAATGTATTCCTGTGACACAATGCTGCTTAATATTTTTGTGGAAACCGTAAAACATTTTACAGGTTTCTTTGATGAATACAAAGTTCAAAAGAACAGCATTTACTGGAAATAGATGTAACAATGTAAATGTTTTTACTGTCACTTTTGATCAATGTATGCGTCCTTGCTGAATAAAACCATTAATTGCTTTTCAAAAACATGTTACTGACCTCTAACTTTTGAGCTTTTTTAGTAAGCGTTTCTGGGCAAGCTAATCAGAGTATTTGCAGAAGTTTGCAAAGTTCATGGTGGTTCAAATTTAAAAGACTTGCAGTAGTTTTCTTAGAGTAACTTTGTAGCAAGTAAACAAGATATCCTTGAGAAACATTCCGTTTTTTTCTGTCATTTTTTTAGCTTATCATTTCTGCACATAAAGACATTCACACAGATCTTTCATGCCATGCCACTTCATGCATACATTTTTTTCCCACACTGGTACCATGAACTTCAAATAAACCCATCCCTAGTCAGACGTATCGGTTAAGCAGTTTTCTCAACCAGACTAAGCTGCAGTGTGAGCCAGACTTCATACAGATAGTCAAACTCTGGCTCTTCAGAACTAAAGTGCATGACACAAGGGTTTGTTATCCTCCATCAGTTCGAATAAAAGAGCTTCCTTAGCTCCTAACAGTAAGATTCCACTTTTTACTTTGGCAGCACTAGATTGAACTGCTGCTAAATACAGTGCTGCAAATATATTCTCATCCAACAGTATTTCTCAGCAAAGGCGGCATGAAGTGCAGATTCTGTAGTCCGGAAGCCCTCTTAAAAATCAGTTTGGGGAGAATGCTGCTGCTGTAATTTATTTCAGTGGTGTCGTGCTGAAATTAGATCTTTTTTTATGTGGCCATTAAAGGAGCCGGTAATGGGCACAGCTGTAGATTCACAGAGCAGCACTGTATTTACCCTTTTCTTTATTCACCGTGAGTGTGTGTGCACGTGTTTGTGTGGCTGTATTAAAGGGGACCCTGTCACCCTTGGGAGATTTGGGACTTTCATGCATTGCTAGTGTGTGTGTGTGTGTGTGTGTGTGTGTGAAGAGGACTTGAGTGCTTTGAAACAGACAGTCTCGAGGGGAAATGTACCTGTGGAATTTGCACACATGCATTTGGCTGTCAAAGACAGCAAGTGTGTTAAAGCGAATGTTTGGGGTGTGTGTCTGTCTCAATGTATTTATGGATGTGTAGAGCCAAGGCTTCCTAAGGGTTTCCTCCGTGCTCACTCACACAACCCTAGAGAAACCCACAGGAGCTAAAATTGAGCTGAAAGCTGTTGTTTTGTTCGAAATAGAATGTACTGTACTGTTTACTACAAAATGCATGTACACTGGATACTGCCTGCCTACTTAATTTTTCAATATGTGAAATATACTTCTCTGACATCATGCTTTTAAATCAGATGCATATTGTACATAGAAATGGCTGATATCTCCAGTTTCTCGTGATTGAGTGATTGACTGGCTTGTATGGCACTTCCAGTAGTTAGTTGAAAGTAAATTAGAACTAGAAATCCATGAGCAGAACTGTATATTCAGCTTTGTGAAATTATCTGTAAAAGGAAACATTTGGACAGACATTGCAAAGTCTACACATTTCCACTCATTTGAAAGAGTTGGTGTTTACTACTTTAGATAGGCTCTTCCTTAAATAGCATTGAAAACAAACCAAATTGTGACTGGTCACTTGACCTTTAGACTAATGAAGTGGCAAGTGCAAAACTATGGCTGCACTCAGAAGAGCATACTACCTTTATGTTGCTTATCTTTATCTGACAGAAATATTGTGAGATGTATGCTCACCTATTATATGTTTCCACCTATTTTAAGTTGCAGAACTATTTCAGACTATAGTCAGTGTTATTTTAGTAACCTATTATTTACATACTATTCAAATAATATTTTGGATGAGATTTCATTTTTATATCTTCAATTTAATTTTAGTAGTAATGTTTATGTGCATAGTTCTTTTTATCTTAATTTATTTGTATTTAAGTTTGAGTCATTTTAGTATTTTAACAAACTTATTTTCAGTTAGTTGCCAAAACAACATTTTTGTTTAAGTTTTTAAGTCTATTTCTATTTGGCTTTCATTTGTTTTTTATTTAAGTTTTAGTCACTTAAACTTATTTTATTCCAGTTAGTTGCCAAGACAAGTTTATACGTTAAAGATTTTCATCTAATATTTATATTTTATTTTATTTAACAAAAACATTTTTTGAATAGTTTTAATTTTAGTAAACAATAACAACACCGACTATAGCATTCTGCATTGTTTAATATTTAATTTTGTGGAAAATAAGTCTTAAGTGAGAAAGTACTGTAAGCTTCTGGTTCATTTGTAATGCTGGTAACAGAAGGTCAAGTAGAGCACATTGCATTGTGGGATACAGTATTTCATGCAGTGTGCTTTGCATCCACATTTTGGCAAATGTCATAGGTTAAATAGATATTCGATACAAACATACTACTGTGCAAAAATTTTCATGTAGACTGCAGAAATATTATTCCAAACATATCCAAAGTCTGTCCAAAGGAATTCAAACTTTTCCGAGCATCATGCATCTCTCAAGCTGAAGTGCTGCATCATCAGAGAAGACATGCAGATGTTCAGACCGAATGAATCAAGACAGCAGGCTGTATTCATTTACAAGTGGCTCTTCAGCTGTGGGTTTGATAGACCTTCCTTTAAATTCCTGTGCTGCTATGTAGTCTGTCATTCTATCTGTCCATCTGTCCATCAAACGGGCTCTCCTACCGTCCTCCGCATTTACAATCGGTAACAAAAATAATGAGTTCCCTTAAGATACGTGCAACTCCCGTCTCTCCATTTTAATATGTATCGTGTTATGCAAAAAGTGCAAGATATTTAAATATATATTGCTGATATTAAAGTTTTTGGGGTGAATATACCTTGCCATACAAGTCCTGGGTTCATTTAATTGTTTTTGATCTGTTTCAGATGTGTGCAGAATGCAGAGAGGATTATTGTGTGGGCTGCTTTGTCAGATTCCACCAGAAGGGGGCACTGAAGCACCATCGTATGGTTCCCGTACAGGTGAGGAGGTGTTCTGACAACTTCCGTCCGTCCCACACACACACGCACACGCCTACACACGCCCGCATCAGCGCCAGGCACACACTTCCAGATTCAGTCTTCCTCCTCCATGCCGTTTCTCAGAAACGCAGAACGCTGGTCACTATTAGCGGACAAACTGCTCACTCTAACCCAACTCTGATTACACACACCTGTTCCCAGGTTAGAGAACAGCCACACAAACACACACAGCTAATGTGTGTTCACACACACTCACTTCCGTCAGCTTGAGTTTGTTTTAGAGAGTTGAGTGGCCACTAAGTCTGACCACTTAGAAAAGTACCTGCACTCGGCTTCTCAAAAAGCCACATGCTGTGAGGGTTCATTCACGTTCAGGACGGTTGCCTTAGCCAATACAGCAAATAAACAGCATAATGTTTTTTTTTTCTTCATTTCATTTTGTTCCCATTAAATAGTTTATATAAAAATAACTGTGCTCATTAAATTACCTTTTAGATTTATGTGATTTTACTGTTATAGTATCACTCTGATCTACACTTACTTAATTGGTAACGGAATGAAAGTTGACACCAATATCTAACTATGTACAACCATAATTAGTACATTTCTTCCAAGAAAAGAAAACTACATACAGTAAAGTTTTGAATTTTGAAGTTTTTTTTGTGTGTGTTTTTGAACTCTCTTTTATGCTGCATTTATTTGATCAAAACTGTAAAAACAGTAATATTATTACAATATGATAGAAATGTGGAATTTTTTTAATCTTCTGCAACATGATAATTATCTTTACTGTCATTTTTGATCAATTCAATGCTCCATTGCTGAGTAAAGTGTTGTTACTGACCTTAAACTTTTGCATGGTAGTGCATCACGGATTCCACAAATTTTTAAGTAGCAAATCAGCATATTAAAATGTTTTCTGAAGGAACACTGAAGAATGGAGTAATAATGCTGAAAATTCAGCTTTGCTTCACAGAAATAAATTACATTTTAATTATATCACAACAGAAAACTATTTTGAATTCTACTAATATTTCACAATATTCCTGTTTTACTGTATTTTTGATCAAATAAATGCAGCCTTGGTGAGCAAAGGAGATTTCTTCCAAAACATTGAACATGATTCCCAATTTAACTGTAGTGGGTTTCTGATATTTAGCTGTGTATTTATATAGTAAGATCCGTTTTTAATAGTTTAAGTTACATTTTAACTTGACCCTCAGGGTCATTCACACTGTGTTGAGTCAACTGGGAAAAATCAGCTCATTATAGTTTCCATAAGCGCTAACCCCAGGGCATACAGGGAACATACCTCACCATGACCCCATGTCCTAAAGCACTCCATATAGGCATACAAATATGTTTAGGCATCATCATGTGTGTGTCAGTGTTGATCGTAGCATTTGAGGTGCTCCAATTATTGCTTACTATAGGTGTGCTGGAACAGTGTGGAGATCAGCTCTTCTTCTGAGAAGATGACCTTAAGTGACCCACATAAACCCTTCACATCTGTCTTCATGTTTACATCCCATCATGCAGCATTAGGCAGCAAATGTGCATCACCAAACTTACTTCTGCCCTGTGTGATGCTCACCCTGCACTGCCGCATACTGAAAGCCGTAATTACACAAACACAAGCAAACAAGTCCAGATGGAGGAGAAACAGAAGAACCCATAGGCTCTAGTCTAGTGAGCTTCCTCGTTGTCTACCGTCTACATTAGTGTTATTTTAGTATAATATACCATTATAATATTTATTAAAGGTATTACAGGTATTATTTTTTTACTCAAAAATAACATTTCTGTTGTTTACTCACCCTCATGTTGTTCAAAACCTGTGTACGTTTCTTTCTTCTGTTCAACACAAAAGATATTTTGAATAATGTAGCCAAACAGTTTCTGATCCCCATTGACTTCCATAATAATTTTTTTGAAGTCAATGGCTACCAGCAACTGTTTGGTTACCAACATTCTTCAAAATATCTTCTTTCGTGTTCAACAGAAGAAAAGAAGCTTATACAGGTTTGGAAAAAAAAAAACATGAGTGTGAGTAAATTATGACAAAATTGTCATTTCTGGGTGCTGCTTGAAGGGAGTGTGCAGTCTTGGCAAGAAACTGAGAATTGTATTTAACTACACTGGACTCTGATGCAGCCTTATGCATCCTAATCCTGTTTAATTTGCTTCCATGGGAGAAAAAGGGAACAAATATTAATATTTTTGTCCCCAGGGTTTATTCTTTGCAAGCTTGGTTTGTCTGCGTCTGCTTTTGACAAAGAGGCATTTGTCCATTTGCTTTTGATTCATTCTCTTTTATCTCTGTTTTCAATTTGCACCCTTTAATAGTTTCCTATTGCTTTCTATTGTCTGCAAATCACTATGCTGAGATAAACTAATTAATTTGCTATTGTTTACTGTAGTTTGAGTGCATAATAAAAATATTTAGTCAAGAGACAGTCAAGGTCTTATCTGGTGAGGTAAGAGAAAGCGTTATTCAGCAGCCCTGACCACTATAATGGCCACTAACAATGTTATCTTAAGGACATAATGTCATAAAGAGGAATTCGTTTTCTGGCTACCAGTTATTGGGTGAATTATATGATTTAATCAAGCTTTTCTTCATAGCTATTATTCATTTGCACTTTTTTATGGAGAGATTTGATAATGTTTGCAGTAATCAGTAATAAAAAGAGCAATTACCTGGTGTGAATATGATCAAATTAAAGAAACCCTATTATGCTACATGTAAGTACTGGGTTTTAGGTTTCTACTGACATATTTCATGGTTACTACTTTTAAAATGAAAAGTGCACTGTAATTGTTTTCTAAGTTGTAAATAAAGCAAATATTATTGGAGTATGTCATACAAAAAAATACTATTTCAGGTTTTCTACTTCAACATTTCACATTTAATTCAGTGTGTAACTTGCCATTTATTTGCAATTGTTTGTGAAATTTGTTAGCAAATTCTGAGTGAAAATGGTCCTGCCCAACAGTGTTATTTTTGTGTCATTTCATTATATAAGACACTATTATATTTTTTATTATTCTTTAAATGTCTATGTGTGTGTGTGTGTGTGTGTGTGTATATATATATATATATATATATATATATATAGATTGTTTGGGGTGGTACATCAAACTGCTTATTAACTGAATCATACATTTAGCTTCTTTAGGTCAAATCCGGTTAGAAATGGATAATGCATTAAGAATGTATTCATGTAATAATGCATTATTTCTGTTCATAAATAATTGTAACCAACGTTAAACTGCATTATAATATTTGCAGATATCACACAGTGCATTATAAGGTGCATTACAAGACATAATTAAGGCATTAAAAATGTTTATAATGCATTGTATATAAAGTATTACTTGTATGTGAATGTTGCGTCAAGCAGTAGGCCTATTTCACATTTCAGTGTTAACTAAGCAGAAAACTTCAGTATCAGTAATTTTTAGCAGCAGATGTCCACACACACACACACACACACACACACACACACACAAAACAACAACAACAACAACAGACATTACGAGTATGAGTTAAGTGTTTTTGAAAGAAGTTACTTTTGCTGACTAAAGCTGGATTTATTTGATCAAAAATACAGTAAAATAGTGGTAAAACTTGATGCTTTTATACACAATGCTATATAAAGGTATTCATGATGTACATAATGTAATGCATTATACAGTATATTTTCATAAATAATTGTAACCAAAGTTAAAATACATTATATTTGCAGATTTATCTGAAATGGATCGTTTGAGATGTGCGTTTTAATGCATTACTTTTTCTGTGTAACAATGATTAGATAGATGAGATCATACAATGTGATACAAGGTGCATTAGAAGTCATAATTAATGCAATAAATATACTTTTATGATGCATTATATATGAAGACTTCTAGTAAAGTGTTACCATATTGTAAAATATAATTATAATTTAAAATAACAGTTTTTTAAAACTGCAGTTTATTCCTGTGATTACTCCAGTCTTCAGTGTCACATGATCCTTCAGAAATCATTCTAATATGCTGATTTGCTGCTCAAGATACATTTCTTATTATTATCAATGTTAAAAATCAGTGTTGTTGTGCCGTTTCATATTTTTGTGGAAATAAGGAAATTTTTTCATTTTCTTTGATGAATAGAAAGTTCAAAAGAACAGCACTTTTTTTTAATTTAAATCTATGCAACATATAAATGTATTTACTGCCACTTTTGATCAATTCAATGCATGCATCTTGTGTTCTTGTTGGCAGGAAGGAAGTCAACATTGAGATGTGCGTTTTAATGCATTACTTTTTCTGTGTAACAATGATTAGATAGATGAGATCATACAATGTGATACAAGGTGCATTAGAAGTCATAATTAATGCATTAAATATACTTTTATGATGCATTATATATGAAGACTTCTAGTAAAGTGTTACCATATTGTAAAATATAATTATAATTTAAAATAACAGTTTTTTAAAACTGCAATTTATTCCTGTGATTACTCCAGTCTTCAGTGTCACATGATCCTTCAGAAATCATTCTAATATGCTGATTTGCTGCTCAAGATACATTTCTTATTATTATCAATGTTAAAAATCAGTGTTGTTGTGCCGTTTCATATTTTTGTGGAAATAAGGAAATTGGTTTCATTTTCTTTGATGAATAGAAAGTTCAAAAGAACAGCACTTTTTTTTAATTTAAATCTATGCAACATATAAATGTATTTACTGCCACTTTTGATCAATTCAATGCATGCATCTTGTGTTCTTGTTGGCAGGAAGGAAGTCAACATTTGAACACGAAACCTCACTCAACTTTCTGTAGAGTGTGGAAACTTGGCCATGTGCTCCATTTAATTTCATCTCCTTCTCTCACTGTCTCTGTCACTCTCATTGTGTTCTCTGGGTCTCGCCTCAGGTGTTGTTTGTGAATGACGGTGTTGACGTGGAGGATGAGGAGGCTGGTGAGGAAGAGGACAGCTCTCTGCTGAGAGGAGGCTTTGATGAAGAAGAGTCAGCCAGGTCCTTCCAGGAGGCTCTGAAAGAGTGGAGAGAGAGAGGACAGAGACCAGGTAACACACACACTTATGCATCTGAATGTGTGTGGATATGCTACAGTCAGACTACGGTAATAAAGTGACATGGTGTCAGGTTGGTGTGAGCTGCCACATATATTCTCTGGCAGGCTGTCTGAACACGCACAAACAGTCTCTCATAAAGCACACTCATGTGTGGCATTGACTGACATAACGCACACCGCAAGTGCGACAGGGCTGCTGATTGGTTGCCAGGTAACTACATACAGTATATGCATGACAAACATGTGCTCGTTGACGACACGTGTGTGTTTCCAGGCGCTGCGTGCGGTTTGTAGAAATGCCTCCGTGATTTGACAACATATGACTCAATGAGTTTGAGAAACTCATTGATGATGCCAGGTCACAAGAAATTCAATCCGTTAGGGATATTAGTCAAGAACAGCAGGATATTTGTTGCTAAATATGAGCAGACGTGATGTTTTCATGCACTTGACTTCAGGATCAGAGAACCACTGTACTCTGTTTAAAATCAAATACTAGTCTTGTGCATACTGTTAATTCTAAACCTACTATGCTTTAGGAATAGTACATCATTTGGTGTACTTTATGCAATGATGGACATCACAACCTCATCACATTGATCTCATCAGGTTAACTTGCAGTTAATTAGTGGCAGATTCATAATAAAGCTCAGAAGATTAATCAGCTGTGATCTTGATTCTAGACTTTATCAAAGGTAAAATGGGTGAGTAACTTAATGTCCTACTTTATATTAATGCAAATGCAAAGATTTTATTATTTATAGTACATAGTATTGCTACAGCTGCATACAGTTTTAATCAGAAGAAAATTGTTATTTAAATTAGTAAACCAGAGACAAGAAACGTCATGAGCTGGCTTTGATGTAACAGTCAGAATTAATAAAGGAGCAAATTTATTTTGATCCATGATGATAAATATTTCACATCCAGTGTAGACAGGGTGTTACGTGAAATTTATTTATTTATTTATTTCCTCCCCAATTTTCTACGGGGAAAAAGACATTGAAACAAATAATTAATTTTTGCAATAGCTGTCTATTTTTATTTTTTTTCCCATTTTCAACTGAATATATTATTTGAATATATAAATAAATATTTACATATGTGTGTGTGTGTGTGTGTCTATGTGTCTATATTTAGTGTTTTGAGTGGTTTTTACATATATATATATATATGTAAAAGGTCAAATTCTATGGAGGACCAAACCTGCAGAAATTATAAATAAATATATAGATAAATTAATAAATAAAATGACAGGAAAATAAATAAAGGAATAAATGACTTGATAAAAACAAATATAGTTATTTTGTAATAAAATTTAACCCTGAATTAATTTTTTTATTACTTTTTCCTTCATGTATTATATTATTTTATGTATTTATTTTTGCATTTATTTTAATTTTATTTATTTATGTATGTATTTATTTATTATTTTTTATTCCCACGTGTATTTATTTCCAGATTTATTTCTTCATTTATTTCTTCGTACTTTTCCGTGTGCAAATGAGACAAATATAGTTATTTTGTAATAAAATTTAACCCTGAATTAATTTTTTTATTACATTTTCCTTTATGTATTATATTATTTTATGTATTTATTTTTGCATTTATTTTAATTTTATTTATTTATGTATGTATTTATTTATTATTTTTTATTCCCACGTGTATTTATTTCCAGATTTATTTCTTCATTTATTTCTTCGTACTTTTCCGTGTGCAAATGAGGGAGGCGGTCCTTGCGGAGCTCCGGTGAATCATTGGTTGAGAGCTCACGCAGAAGGTCAGATCAAAATAACGATAGAGATCGGAGTTTGTGTGATCAACTGTAGAGTTGCAAGATATTTTCATAGATTCACGTTATGTCGAATTATTTTATTGCGACTGAGTTCACCTACTTATCCTGACAGTTTCGTCATTAAGTTTAGTTTGATGACGCCTCTAGACACACTTGGTAGAGGTTTCTAAGGCTTGTGTTCATTTTGTAATTACAGAGAAAAGACAGTAAAACAGTTGCATCAAAGGTTTGGAATCGCGGCCCACTGCCATAAAGTTAGCTTGACATTGGACGTTCAATATTCGCAAGTGTAGGGACCGTCTCTAAACTTACATACGATATTTATTAAAATAAACTGTCAAATTATATCTAAATATTGCTAAATCAGGATTACATTTTATTACAAATGAACTATATTTGTTTTCATCAAGTCATTTATTTCTTTATTTTCCTGTTATTTATTTATTATTTCTGCAGGTTTGGTCCTCCATAAAAATCGCCCATTGGCCTCTGACCATCATGGCCTCCTAACCATCCCCATATCTGCTGATTGGCTTCATCACTCTGTCTCCTCTCCACCAATAAGCTGGTGTGTGGTGGGCGTTCTGGCGCACTATGGCTGCCGTCGCATCATCCAGGTGGATGCTGCACACTGGTGGTGGTTGAGGAGATCCCCCCCTTCTATGTAAAGCGCTTTGAGTGCCCAGAGAAAGCGCTATATAAATGTAAGGAATTATATATATAAATGTATATTTTACATATTACATGCTGCGAATATAGTAAAAGTAGTATGCTAGCCAGTTATTTCAAACATCGTTTGCATGTATAGTTGGGGTTTAAAGGTGAATAAGACACTCGATTGAATCACACTGCAGCAAAGTAAAGTTAGTCCTTATCATGTGTCAGACTCCTTGTGTTTGTCCCTCTCTCTCTCTCACTTCTCTTTCTGTAGTTGGCTAGCAGGAGTCTTGCCCGCTGCAGTGCTGCTTGGCTTGTGCTCACTGTGATAATGACTGCTGTGTTAAGGGGGTTTCAGATGCACTGAAGTCTAACCGCCCTTTATATTCTCACAATTCAGCAAAATAACTCTCAAAACAAAGACTGAATTATGTCTATAGTTCTGCTTGAATTCTGACGGCTTATTTCTCTCATTTAGTCTCTTGAGTATTTGTTTAATATAAATTCTTTAGTGGTTTGCATGAAGCTAAAACGGAAAGGGTTAAGAGTGTTTGAACGACTTCTAGGCTACATGCACACTTCAGGTAAATACGGTTATTTTCCTGTTCTGTACACACAGAGTTTTGACTGAAGGCTTGATTGGTGTGGTTTTCTCTCTAGTGTCTGTGATGGAAACACAAACAGAGAAAGGATCCCAGCCGTTAATTTATGTGGAGTTCAAGGAGGACACTTTGAGCTACATGGAGAAACTCCTCATGAAAAAGCACCGCAGGTTAGTGCTTGACACCTCACACTTTATAACCGAACAGACACACATTGAATAAGAGCATTACAAGCTTCAGTTACCTTCTCAGGCCCCAATTAAGGCCCATTTAAGATCAATTAATGACTTATGGCTGCTAATTATACAGCCTCACCTTTAAGTTGTGCCACTGCCGAGTCACTTGAATTTATTGAGCTAATCAGCACCAAAGCCCAATGGTATTGCTTTAACTTTGTAAAATCTTCCTTAAACAAATACACCGGCACACAAACCTAGTGAGCTGCCTATGTAGGGACCATTTTAAGGCATCATAGGCACACTCCTTACATGAAGCCTGTTCCAAATAGTAGGGAACAACATGCTGCCTTCTAAGATGGCTTATTTTGGTATTCTAAGGAAGCATAGAGTGCAACAGTTAAGTGTAAGAAGTAAAAACTCCATTGATTTTCTTCATAAGGAAATTTATTTTTAATGATAACTTATAAACCTTTAAAGACAAATCTGTTGTGAGCTCTCTCAAAATTCTTAAATATTTGTATGTATATGCATATTTTGCAATAAAATATATTGTTTCTTTAGATATAATCAACAACTTTAAATGGATAGTTTTATATTTCACCATTGTTTTTAATTCTGTTTTGTCATTCGCAATGTTTCATGGGATTGTAGTTTCCCCCCTCACTAAAGCTGTTTAGTACAGAGTCTTGTACCTTTTTTGTGATTCACCTTTGTTGTGTTGGTTGTTTTGGTTCATGGCTTATAAATCTTTAATGTAGACATTTTTAAAATCCCTATAGGAAAAATTTATGGGAAAAAGTACTTCCGGAACCAATGGCAGTGAAAATAATGGGCTGACACTAATGCACTCATTTAGAGAATGCAATCCCAGAATGCACTGCGATAAGGTCTGTTAAAAAATTATCCAATAATCAATTAAACGAGAGAAATGCAATTGAAGCGTAATTGAAACGTATTTAAATTAAAGGGGTCATATAATGTTGCTAAAAAGAACATTATTTTGTGTATTTGGTGTAATGAAATGTGTTTATGTGGTTTAAGGTTAAAAACACATTATTTTCCACATACTGTATATTATTGTTTCTCCTCTATGCCCCGCCTTTCTGAAACGTGTCGATTTTTACAAAGCTCATCGGTCTGAAAAGGGAGGTGTGCTCTGATTGGCCAGCTATCCAGTGCGTTGTGATTGGACGAATACCTCAAGCGTGTGACGGAAATGTTACGCCCCTTACCATATTGTGATGATGCCCTGTCCGGCCGGAACATAACATAAAACCATGTCTGCATTTGTGATTGGAGAAATGACAAACAACAAGCGCTACTCTACACTGCCCAAAACTTTGAATCATCAGTGGCAAATTCTTTAAATATAAAAAACGTACTTACAGTCTGTAAATCAGAACAGCCGGCATTGTAGTCTACTCTCCCAGGATCAGGAAACA